CCTCCCTCTGAGATTAAACAGATGGGCTCTCATACCAGCACATGCTTAATACTTGTGTATTTGGGGCTTTTAAAAGGATTTTAACACATTCATAAATGGAGCATTAAAAAAAAAATGACGAAAAAGGGAGCCTTTTATTCATTTTAATTTTATTGAAATTTTTGCATTCTGATCTCAATGTTTTGCCCCATTTTCCATAATGCATAGATTTCCCATAATGCATCTGGAAGTTTATTTTTTTTATTACAATTATTCTCAATTCTGGTTCTGTAATACAGTGAAATATTTTTGTTGACTGGGAATTGAACATAAAAACTCAAAATGAGAACCTTATAGGGTAAAAATATGTCCTGGAAATAAAATAAATAAAATATAAATGTAAAAAAAGAGGAAATAATATGAAATGCCTTTGCATTTGCAAGACATAATTGACAGGTTTTGTGAGAATCAGCCACTTCCATTAACAAGTAGTTGTATAAAAAAAAAACAGTGCTTTGGACTGAAAAGCTTTGAAAGAGCTTTGAAAGAAAGAAAGAAAGAAAGAAAGAAAGAAAGAAAGAAAGAAAGAAAGAAAGAAAGGAAGGTCTGGATATCCCTCTACAACAGTAGTAGTGTTAGATTTTGCATCTGATTAGAAAGCACAGAGGTTATAGCCTCCAACCAGGCATCCATCAACATCACTGTAGATCAATAGGCCTCTGCTACTGATTTATCAAAGAGTTAATAGGTAATTAAGGCAGGCTGAGGTAACGAGAGGTAATGGCATGATCGATAGCATGGACAAACTAGAAACCTGACATGCTCATTTAGATGACAGTCAATGACTGCTTTAATGATCTTCAGCAAGCTATGTTGAAATCAAACGGAAGAGCATCCTATTCCTGTTCATCTGAATCTGGGAAGTGTGCAGTCCATTAGTGACGCATCAACACAATGTGCTCTTAAAGAGACTATTAAAATTATGTCGTTATTTTTTTTTTTTGCTGTGCAACAAAAGGAAACTTTCTTGATGCTCTTTTCCAGCTCCAAAACACCATAAAAGTATATATTGCACACAAGTGATGAGAACTATACTTTTGTGGTGCTTTTGTGTCCTTTTTGGAGCTTGAAAGCACTTGTTGGAAAATAATTTCTCATGCAAAAAAAAAAACTAAGAAAAAAAAAAAGGTTTAGAATGACATGAAGGTGAGTAAATGACAAATGACCTATTCCTTTAATTAAGCAAACAATGCAACTATTTTTATTTTAATTCACATATCACTGCTTTAGCAGTAGGTCTTTACTGAAGATGTAGTCTTAAGTCTGATAATAGGTTTTCTATAAGCCTCTTTGTTCTTTTAATCAAATTATAAATCAAAACACTCTGTCAATTGACAAGTGTGGGTCATAAACCACAAGCAAGATGAGATAGCAACTAAAGGGCTTGTTAGAAAAGCCTCTTATGTCTTTCTTTTTTGCAGTAAATTCATGAATGCCACTTTGATTAATGGGTGTTGGCCATATGATGAAATGAGATACTTTATCTGTTGTTGTCGGTGAGATCATACTTGTAATTGCAAGCGTTGGTGAGAGATGTCCAGGGATCAGAAACATCACACCTAAATACAAGATATAATTAATGTCCAAATTGAGTGTTTTAGAGCCAATTCATTTTTGCTCACACTGTGAAAAATCACCAAACAACACCCTGGGAATCCACTTGGAACTCAACAAACAAATCCTTAGCAACCACCTAGCAACCAGCCAGAACTCCCTAGCAACCACTTAGAACTCCCTAAACACCAGCATACAAATCCCTGAACATTCTAGAAACCACTGAACAACTGCCCTGAATCAACTCCCAAGCAGCCACATAGAAGCATGTTAAAACCATCCTAGCAACACCCTAGCAACACCCTGAAGGCCACACTGAAGACCCTAGGATTGTGTTGGCAATTGTGTGTACAATGCACATTTAAAAATGAAGTTTTTGCCCACGAAATTTCACTTTTTTGTGGAAAGATTAAATCATTGTTTCAAGCATGTTCACTAAATAAACACTGCAAGAGAGAAAGAGAGAGTGAGAAATCCATTGAAGCACACTGCTCTTGTCTCCCATAGCAACCCTGGCATTTCTAGTGCGTTTCCTGATACACGATGTTCTGTTTTGGAAGGTTACGATGACATGCTAGTTAGCATGTGCCGACCGCACCAGAAACGCAGGAAGAGACAAAAGAGGACTGTATTTTTAGGAACCGCCTAACTAGGTCATGTGCTTCACGGCCAGGAAAGAGCTGTGAAAATGGCTGGATTCCCATCACTATAGAGTGAGCGTGTCCATGCAGAGAGAACACGTTTCAATGGATTACGTGTTTTCAGTGATGACTACATATAGTATATTTATATCTTAATTTCTAGTACATTATAACTGACATTTATAATGTTACAAAACATTTATATTTCAAATATATGCTGTTCTTTTGAACTTTCTAGTCATCAAAGAATCCTGAAAAAAGTATCACGTTTTGTTTCCTCAAAAATAGTAAGCTGCACAACTGTTTTCAACATTGGTAATAATCTTTTTATTTATTTTTTATTTTTATTTTTTACTTGAACAGATACTCAGCATATTAGAATGATTTTTACTTTTTGATGATTTTTACAATATTACTTTTTACGTTTTTTGATCAAATAATAAACTTCTTTCAAAAACATTAAAAAAAATAGTGTACTCATAGTGTACTCACCTTGAATGTATTAACAGTAGTGTGAGTGTGTATGTATTTATGTATAAAATAAAATTTGGACATCAAAAATCCCTCTTTTGAGGGATTCAACCTCATTTAATATTAATACAGGTCACAGTGATTTTGCCAGGACAGACATGTTCCAGGTTCAACATATTCTGTTGATCCTGGAACAACATTTCTGTCTGAAAATGTAGTCTTAAACCTACCCATATATTTTCCCTAAAATCAATGGGAAATGATAGGTAAATAGCACTGATGTAGAAGCATCTAACCCTGGTTGTAAGCCTAAACTTGACATAAACTGTAAGCTTGTTCCTCAAATCTGATTGGTTGATTGGAATGTTGTTTCAGGATCAACAAAGATGTTGTACTTGGTGAAATCAGGTTCACCATCTATACCACTAAATAGGTTAGTCTGCGGAAGTAAAATGGGTCATGTTTTATGTTGATGTATATGGGGAATAGGGAATAGGGAAAAAAACCCCATTATGAAATGACATCCAGCTTTGAAATTACTCTGAAAATCATTCTCTCAATGGAAATATATTCATGAGGTCATGGGCTAGTAAAGCGATCAGTCTGCGGCTGATCCCCTTCACCTTTACTAGGAAAAGTTCAGGCTTTGTGAATCTGTTCTCTAAGCCATCTGAGTTCAATAAGGCACCACTAGACACTTGAATTATACAAGAAGATTATATTTTCTAAAGGATTTATTTTTAATACAACCAGTGCTCTACCTGGCAGCAATGTTATCACAACATTTCATTCGCTATGATATGAAGAGGATTTGAAATAACTTGCTTTTTCCAGTGCCTTAATGCTCAGACAGAAATACAAGAATATCAGAGATATTTCACTATCATTTTTTGTGCTTGCTAAGAAAAAAAAACATAACCATACATATTAGAGCATTTTACACACGACCTCATTCCTAAATGACAACGAATCGAAACCTTTCCCAAACAGTCTTTTCGGCCACACGGTATTGTTATTTCTTTGTTACAAATATTCATATTATCACAGACGTACTGGGATAAAAGTTTATAGTTCGGATATAAACACTGATTTCTACGGAAGCGTAGAAATCAGTGTTACTCAAAATAGAGTAAATCACCTTTTGTAAGAAACTTGACGTTCAAATAAAGACTGTTTTAAAGCAACACCAAGGAAATTTTCCTCAGCGGTCGCCCTACAGGTTGGAAGCAGAATTGTCCATTACCGCTGTCGTAAATAATTTAGCCTTCCGCAGCCTACTGTAGCACGCGCACGCTCGCTGTTTATCCAGCACCGGCTTTGGAATCAACAATGGCAGACATCCCAACCTGCAAGAAGTCATTTCAGGGAGGTATATCTTGGTGACTGGATTGTTGACGGGGGGGGGGGGGGCGGGTTGACTAGCTTTCGTGAGGCACACTCGCAAGATCTCTCGCTCTCTTCCTCTCTGCCGTGCTCGCGCTAATAGCGTATGTTATGCGCGCAGTATGTTCTGTCTGGCATGCGCGCTCTAGATTCCGGCAGATTTGAACTAATTTGCGGGCATCAGGGAGACGCTATAGACTTGGGATGTCTGCAATGGCCATAGACAATTTGAGGAAGTGGTGGGGGAAGTGACGTATGCCGTAAAGCAGTCGAATTTTGTAGTTCTTTTTGTGCTCGGGTTACTACCCGAAACCCGAAGTTACATAGTGCGAGTAAAAGCGATACAGACCACGTCAGGCTATGGCAGACGTGTCATTTAACCTATTGTAAGTCGATGTACCATCACATTATGAAGGTTGAAAAGTTCCATAGTGTTGCTTTAATTACATCATTACACCAGTAGGTGGCGACAAGTGACCGCTAAATTATGTATTTGTCATTGAATCATTCATTCAAGGGTTCACCAATAAATCCAGTAATGAAACAAGTGAAGTCTTTATGAGTTTATTATTGTCTACTCTGAATCGTAGGAGAATTAGATTTTAAACAAACAAACTTTGATTCTCAAATTATCCAGAAATAATGAAGCTCTAATACTATTTAAAACTGTTTGTCCTACATGAATGATACCTTAAATCATGTAGCTTGATGAAGAGATTTACAGAGAGGTGTAATGAAATTCACAATTTTTACCTACTGGAACAGACATAAAAATCCCACAAACTTACATTTAAGGAGGGACTACAAATCAATGAGACTTCAGCCAGTAGGCAACAAGCTAAAAATATAAAGAAAAACATCTTATGAATTAAACGTTGGTTTGGTGAACTTACCTTTCTTTGCTTGTTTCAGACCCAGAGGGCCGCAGGTTAAAGAGCATTCAGAGGAGCACAGAGACAGGGCTGGCTGTAGAGATGCCCAGTCGGACGGTCCGGCAGGCGAGCCACGAGTCCATCGAGGACAGCATGAACAGCTACGGCTCAGAGGGAAAGTGAGTATCAGAAATCAATGTACCTTTATAGTCCCTTCAGTAAGGCCCGACACACAACCAACAGCACATAAATACAAACTCTTAAAATAAAAAGTTCTAAATAGAAACTTAAAGGCATGCGTTTCATATGTAGAACCTTTTAGGGATTTTAGTTTTTATTCATTTTTAACTTTTCATTTAATGTTATTAATTAAGCAGCTCGTAAACATACTTTATCACTAGAAAAAATTATGCAATGATTTTTAGACATTTCTCCTTATATAGAACCTTTTGAAAATCGAGTCAAGAACCCTAAGGTTTTCGCTGCAATGCCATAGAGGAACCATTTTTGGATCCCTAAAGAACCTTTCAGTGAATAGTTCTTAAAATAAAATAAAAAAATTGTGTGAAGAACATTTTTAATAACCTAAATAAAAACCTAAAAAAAAATAACCTTTTTCCCACTTTGTGCAATGGAAAGGTTTATCAGGAAAGGAAATCAGTTTACTAAATAATGTAAACTTAACTGACTGATTCCTTTCCACTTTAAAGGTTCTTCATGGAACCATCAATGCCAATAAAGAGCCTTCATTTTTAGGAGTGTACTTAGTGTGGCGAAACAGGCTTTCATCCACAACAAACCAGAAATGTGTTCATTTCAACTCTTATTATACTTGATATTAGCATTATCATTAATATCGTAAAAAATAACCATATCACAATGACTCACTTTTAAACTACAACAATTAATTCTGAGGGTAAAAAACACTCACAAAGAAGATGCTTCCTCTCAAACTGAACAAATATAGAATCTGTTATTTTGCAACCGCATTCAGTTTGTTATCGGTTTGATTGGCTGATACATTTGATGGGATAAAAATTAGGAAGGACTGTTGTGTAAAATTGAGTAAAGAAAAACCACAAATCTACCTCTGTACACAGCCTATATTCAGCTACAGAAAAAAAATCTTTCTTTTTCTTTTTATCCAGCTAAAAAAAAAAAAAACATGAGATACTATATAATAAGTTTCTGTTCAAATCAAAATCAGAATCATTACATGTACCCTCTGGACTTACCTAAATGCCCCTAGTTATATCACTGTTATGCAGGAATCACAAGTCTCACGTTCCCATTTTATTGATTTGGGATACACTGCATGTGTTATTGCATTACATTCCTCTAGAAACAGGGATGCTCATCCAATAACGCAAGAAAAGCATTAAAAGTGTCTTTACTGTCAGGAGATTGTGCTTATATCTGCTATATCAAGCAATAAATAAAATGTGTTTGAGGTATTCCCATAAGTTACATAACCAACCATATAAACCCCTTTCTCAGTAATAAACCTTTTCTCTGCTGGCTCCATTTCTGAATGAAATCCAGAATTGTGTGTAGACGTACTGTAAACTCATTTCAGATCTGGACACCGTCTGGTGTGTCACATCAAAGCCACAGGTTTGGGGTTTTGCGCGATGTAGTCTTATTTTAGCTCTGTGGAGGACAATAGCTGTTTAACTTCAGTTCCAATGTGCCAGAAAGTTTGGATACATAAATGGAGAAGATATTAGCCAGTTTGGGCTAGTTCAGACAAATATGCTTTGCTGCCTAGATGAGCTTCAGTTTTATCATTTTATTTCATCAACTAGTACTGCACGGTAAAGACATTTTTCAAAGGTCTAAATAAATCAAAGATTATTAGAGTATGGTTTACAAGGAAATATATTTCATTCTTTCAAAATTTCACATTTAATTCTGTGCATTACTTGCCAATTCTTTGTAATTATCTGTGAAATTTACGAGCAAATTTTGAGTGAAAATTGTTTTTACACAAAAAATGTTTTCAGTGTAGGGTAGACACCAGGGCCAAAAAAGTAAGACATGTATGATTGTCATTGCATAAGATAACAAAAAAAATATTTAAGAAAGTGTCATTTATTTTACTTTTCAAACAAAACATGATGATTAAGCAATAGATATTTGGTTCAAAATGAAGACTAAAAAAGTATTTGGACACTTTGTTGTTGTCAAATGCTAAAGTAGATGACATGATGTTTCAGGCAAAACAATAAAAAAAAAGACCCACTCATTTATGACAAAAACTTCTGAAATGTGCTTGTGTAGTTCACTTTAAAACAGTATGTTCAGTTACATAAAAATAGCAATATGTTGTGCTCAACCGACGGTCGATTTTACATAAATTTCCCCTCAAACTCCATGTCCAATACCCAGAGATATATTAGAAATTCACAAACAGACCAAAACTCCCCACAAACCTTACGTAATGCAGAATACGAACACTCTTCCTGTGCAACTCCATCATGGGAGTCAAATCCAGCCCTATTCAGCTGGATTACACAGTTTATGGAGCATGGGGATTACGGTTTTGGCTGCCACTGCTGAGGGTATTTGACCATATTACATTGCATCTTATGGTTCTCATGAATACATAATGGAGTAAAACATATTTGAAATAAACACCCGCTGTCAGTCTGAGGTCTGACAAACAACAGTGATAGAAAATCATAGCGCAAGGTCGATTTGATTCCATGGTATTTTTTGTAATACTTCTGTGGAAGTTTCTGTAATATTTATTCAGTATCTAGTGTCTATTTTATGCTGTTTCCATTAGATATTATTTGTAACTGGCCTTTTAGGCTAGATAAAGTTGGGCTTTTTGCCCTTAAACACTTTAAATGTTATCAAACATGATATAAAAAGTTATAAAACATTATGAAGAGTACATTTATTAAAACATTGAACATATTACAATTTAACAGAGCATGAATAAATGAATAAATCAGAGTTGGGGGTCTAAGTAGGCCTCCTGGTTCTGGAAAATAGAAAGGACAACATTGATGCACTGCAGCCAGTCATGCATTTACTATTATTGTATTATTTATTGTAGTGTGACGTATTAATTGATGTGGAAGTGAAATTGAAATTGTATTACAAAAAAAAATATATAGTATTCTATAATCTGGCTGCAGCTGTTATACAGATGTAGAAGCATAGTTTCTTGTGCTTTTGTGTTATTAAAACAAAAATAGTATGAATCTAAATTAAAGACTGATGCACTTTCTCAGTACATTTACAAAGATCAGAATATCTTGCCTGAACTCCCACTTTTATCAGTAAAGTCATCTTTTGGGGAGCAGGAAGTTTGAAAGAGGTCACATGAGTGACATTTATGTAATGGATCTGTCAAAATGCCCTAGAAAGCAGAAAGTGCTCTAATTATAACTCCAAAAGCAGAACTGCTCATGGTGCATGGACCAAAAATATGATCATATTAGATGTCCTGAATAAAATCATATTTGGTATACTGCATTTTGTCAGAAACTATCAGTGTGAATGCACAGGTGTTTTAACAAAGTTAAACCCATTGGAGGAGAGAGTGTGAGCCAATCAGCAGAAGGGGGCGTGTCCACCCATGATGGAGGAGGAGAGAGTGTGAGCCAATCAGCAGTAGGGGGCGTGTCCACCAATGATGGAGGAGGAGAGAGTGTGAGCCAATCAGCAGTAGGGGGCGTGTCCACCCATTGGAGGAGGAGAGAGTGTGCGCCAATCAGCAGTAGGGGGGCGTGTCCACCCATGATGGAGGAGAGAGTGTGAGCCAATCAGCAGTAGGGGAGCGTGTCCACCCATGATGGAGGAGAGGGTGTGAGCCAATCAGCAGTAGGGGGGCGTGTCCACCCATGATGTGGGAGGAGAGAGAGTGAGAAAGAGGGAGGTTTGAAGAACGACTGTAGAAAGAGAGATGCTGAGAGACATTACAAAAGAGAAAATTTCAGAGGAATATCACTGGAAATAGAATGCTATGATCAGGCAAGAGCTTTAGGAATGACGTTAATAGTAGAAAAGCTTTCCAGTGCTGGAGAGACCCAAGCGAGAAGGCCTGAAAACAGATGCCGAGGTTGAGTTATTTCTGCTTTGAGTAATATTGGTTTGGCTATGTTTCACAGAACCAAGATATACTGTTGTGTAGTGTTGACAACCAACCAACTTATGGTAATGGTAACAACCAACTCTTGCTTACACACTCTTATGTTCATTTTTTGTTCTTCTTTGTCGTTCGTTTGTCGTCTTGCCTTTATTTTTCACTAAGCATTCATTTGCTTGGCTTCAGCTATGATAAAGGGACATCCACTCTTGCATTGCACGTTTATGCATTTTGGGGGAGGAGCAATGAAGGGAGGGGTGTGTTTGTTTGGGTGCATTTCAAATATCAACATTGTTTCTCAGAAATCGCTTACTGGACTTTTAAGTGTCCAAATTCTTTTTGTGGCCACTGTACAATTAACAAAGACTGTGATGTCGAGTTCTACATTCTATAAATTCTCAAAAAGCAGGTAAAAAGAACCAGCTAAACTGAGAGAAATAACTGTAATTGAACAGAAGATCATCTCCATTCTCCTCCACATTCAAAAGATAAGCTGACACCTCTGCGCTCTATTTTAGATGCATAAACATTCCCTACATACTTTTCACCTTCTTCTAGTCAACACTAACTCTTGTACATACTCCTGCATGCAAGAATGGAGCATCTGTTTAAAAAGTTTGCATGCAATGAGTCCCAGAAGAACAGCGCGGAGACAGTGATATATAAAGCAATTGAAAGCAGTGCGCTGAGACGCCATGATTAACACATAACACAGACAAATGTTTATTCGAGTGACATCAAGAATGCGGCGTGTAATATGTGGAGCGGTGATAGGTGTACAGTGCCGCTGCTAGCCATTTTGGTGCCCTAAGCATAATTCCTTTATGATGCCCCCCCCCCACCCCCCCCCCCCCCCCCCTCTCCCTCCCTCCCTCCCTCCCTCCTAAAAAAAACATTTTCATTTAGGATTTTCATTTAGGGGGGCTAAGCCCCCAATGAGGGTATGATTTATAAAAAAAATTAAAAGCTAAAAAGTAACACTTTAGATTAGGGTCTAATGCTTACTATTAACTAGTTTCATTACCATGCAATGGCATGGTTTTATAATCACTGGGATCCCGAATTTGAGGCAGGTTAGTT